AAGTATAATGATATCTGACAACACAAAAAAAAAAAAAAAACACATCTTAGTAAAACCAATACCTTCTCAGCTTCGCATCGAAGCTAAAATTGGTGGATTATTCCAAAAGCTTCATAAACTGCTAGTTACTTATTAATATCCTGATTAACATAAAGTATGTCGAATGAAAAAGGGATTATTAAAAAATAGTATTTCCCATAAAAAAATTATATTGATCAATACACTTTTCAATAAGTTATAGCATTATAAAGTTAAAAATGTAAAAAATAAAATTGAGAATTTTGACACAATAATAGCATTTGGTAGCCATTTTCACCGTGAAGACAAAATAAAGTCCAAAATTTTTTTTTACATAATAAAGTAGATTATATTAGCTTAATTTAATATATATAGAAAAGTGTCAGACTTTCCGGAACACTTTCAAAATTTAAGTTGAAAAAGTCAATTTTTTGTGAAAAAGTTGTCATTTTGAATCCCCCCCTGTAGGCAGGTAAAAAGTCAGATTTATAAAAAAAATATACCAAATGATAGGTAAAGACATCATGCATCTACAAAAAAAAGAATTATATTGATCCATACATCTTTCGAGAAGTTATAGCATTATAAAGTTAAAAATATAAAAAAGAATTTTTTTACAAAAATCGTATTTTTTTTATTAAGTTTAATGTCTGTTTTCACCATGAAGATAAAATAAAGTCCGAAATTTTTTTTTACCATTATAAAGTATATTACATTAGCTTTAATTTAAGATATATATAAAAGTGTCAGACCTTCCGGNTTTTTTTTTTTTTATGTCTGTTGCCACTTTTTCTCAGCTCTCACTGGACCGATTTCTTTCAAAAATACGTCAAAAGATCACAAATCGTATCTAGTTGAAGACATTACTCTTAAAAATTGAAAAAAATTCCCTCGTTCCCCGCAAATGGGAGAAATATCCAAAAAAATTACAAATTTAAAAATCGCTAATTTTCGAAATTTTTTCACTTTTTTTTCTTAAAACTTCCATAACTTTTTGAAAAATCAACAAATCAACATAATTTTTTTTTATACTAAAACCTTAGATAATTACCTTTCATTCAAACCTTTCAACAATACGTCAAAAAATCACAAATCGTATGTAGTTGAAGACATATATCTCAAAAATTAAAAATGTTTTCCGTAAATTATGAAAATTCCACAAAAAATTACAATTTTTAGAATCGATTAAATGTTGACAGATTTTTCACTTTTTTTCTGAAAATTGCTATCACTTATTGAAAAATTAATGAATCAAAATAATTTTTTTTATATTGAAACCTTAGATATTTCCTGGTCACAAAGGGGTATTCAAAATAGAAACTTATTTACTAAGGTCAACTTTTTCAACTTAACTTTTGAAAATGTTTCGGAAATACTGCGTCTTTAAACATATGTCGAATTGAAGCTTATGTTACGTAATATATTAAATAAAAAAAATTTGTCCCTTGAACTTATCTTCTACGTACAAATAACTGCCGTAGTTAAAAAACATGCTATTTTTGTGTTCAAATTTTAGTTTTATTTGTTTGTTTTAAAATATCTTATAAGAGTTTACCATAGTAATAAGCCCATCAATAAATATAAAATTTACATGAGTCAAACTTACAAAAAATCACAAATCATATCTAGTTGAAAACATTGCCCTTAAAAATTGAAAAAATTTTCCTCATTTCCTGTAAATGGGAGAAATCTCCAAAAAAATTACAATTTTTAAAATTGGTAAATTTCTTTTTTTTAATTGCCATAACATTGTAAAGAATGAACAAATCAAAATAATTGTTTTTTTTTTTATAGTAACCTTAGATATTTCTCTTTCATTTGATATAAATGGTTGCTGCATCAGTTTATTGATTTATTTATGCAGTCTATTGTGTTCTGAAACAAGGTTCCAACCCCACCCGTCAGAATTACTTTTTTTTGTATTTTTTCTTAATTCAATTAGATAGGAATTAATTATGTTTTTGGATCAATCCTCCAATTTCTTAAAATTAAACACTATCTACAGATTTTCTTCAAATCGTTTCTTATGATAATGATTATTATCACAGTCAGATATCATCTATACATGTCCCAAATATTCTACGTCTATACTATGCCGTGACTCCACTGTGCACCAGTTTTTTTTTATTATGATTTTATCTCATATTAGTTTTTTTTTATTTTCTAATACATAAAATAAGCTTTATTTTAGTATATATTTAAAAGACACAGTATTTCCGGAACATTTTCACAAATTAAGTTGAAAAGTTTAAACAAATTTTCAAGATTTCAAAAATTCAAAAATCTTTTCTTAACTTTGAAGAGGCAAATTAATCATAATAAATATAACTTTAAATTTAATGTAAGTTATATTCATGTAAATTTTATATTTATTGTGGGATTCATTACTATGGCAAACCTCTGTAAGGTATTTTAAAGTAAACAAAAAAAAAATTAAGTTTGAACACAAAAATAACATGTTATTTAACTACGGCAGCCATTTGAATAAAAAAGATAGGTCATCAAGATTATTTTTTTTAGCTTCGATGCGAAGCTGAGAAGGTATTAATTTTACCGTGTGTTTTTTTTTTAACATATATTTAAAGGACTCAGTATTTCCGGAACATTTTCAAAAGTTCCGTTGAAAAAGGTTACATTTGATACGCATATGTCAAGTTTTGAACTTGTCTTGTAGAAAAGCGAAATTTTCCGATTTAAAAAAAAATTATATCGGTATACATAATATATTTAGAAACAGAAATTTTTGTTGATATATATATTTTTCAAAAATTTATAGCATTTTAAAGTTGAAAATCGAAAATTTTAACACAATAATAGCGTTTTTTTAACTACGGCATCTATTTTTATGTAGAAGATAAGTTCTCGGGACAAATTTTTTTTATTTAATTTATAGTACGAAATATAAGCTTTAATTTGATACGTGTTTAAAGGACGTAGTATTTCCGAAACATTTTCAATAGTCAGTTAAAAAACTTGAGTTTTGTAAAAAAAGTTGTTATTTTGAATCCTCCTTTGTCGGTAGGTAAAGGGTCAGAATGTCAAAAAAATTATATGAAATAAAAGGGAATTACTTAAGGTTTCAATAAAAAATATAATTATTTTGATTTCTTAATTTTTAAAAAGTTATAGTAGTTTTAAGAAAATGGTGCCCTTTTTAAATTATTATTAATTATTTCATCACGTTTATTTTTTATTTGCATATTATTCATATTATTCTATTAGAACTTATTTTACTACTCGAGCTTAATAAATAAAAAAATATTTTTTGTAGTTACTTTTCGAATCTGAATTTCATAAATTTTTCACGAAATCAAAAGCAAATAAAAAATTTCAATAGTGTACCTTGCAAATTGACATTTTTAAAATGAAATAATTAATGAATTTATTTATTAAATAAATAAACTAAATAAAAACCTTACTGTTAAAACAGGCAAACTTTTTTTGTGAATTTCAAACCATTTATTACACAATTTTTTTATAATTATTGAATATTTGAAGATTATAAATCCAATAATCGCATTTTTGCAACTTATTAACTTTTAAATATAAGCTACAGATTTATATTATTAAGAATCTATATTATCAAATTCATGTTAAGATTATGGAATAACTTACATAGTAGTCTTTAAATATTATTCAAATTTTAATTAATCTTGGTTAAAATTTATTTGATTGTAGCTACGCAATATATTTGAATAATAATTTAACGTTTTCAGTTCTAAACTAGAAATTTTCGTTAAAACATATTTATTTTTGTTTATGATACATGCAATATCTTAAAGACGTAGAACAAAACTCAACACAAATTTCCCCATTTTCAAAATTAAAAAAACCTACATCCTCTATCAAGTAAACATAAAAAATATCGATAAATCAAATTAAGTAAATAAATCATCCTAAACAATAATATTCATAATATTTGTTATTTAGAAGTAAAAAGAGTTTAGAACTGATTTCAAAATCTGTTGAAGATGAGGAGGAAGAAGAGCAAGAAATGCATAATTCCCAATCATATCTAGATCTTATTATAGATTTATTAAAATTAAACACTAATCCAAACTTTTGTCATTATACATCGCTTTCTAATGTATTCTAGTAAGATTATTCAAAAAAATCTATAATCGCAAATAGCTTATCGTTTTAATTCACATCTCATATAGTTGTAAAGATTGCCAGATGATAATGATTCCAAATATAGCCAACCAGGTATGGTGTAAAGTTCCAAAATTTATAGTTTCTCAAAATGGCACAATTAACTGTGTACACTCTAAGTAATAAAATTTGCTTATGGATATGAATTTAAAGGTTGACAGCTAAGATGAGAGTTTAATAGGTGTTCAGTTTGGAATTTGACCAATTACATGAGTAACCTGGTATTTGAATTTAAACATCCCAAAGAAGTTTACTGGCACATATGGTTCGAGTGTCATTTTCTCAAATGCACAGCATGCAATCAACCATATCCAGTAAAAAACTCCAATATGTGTCGTTATCATCCTAAAAGCCCTGTGTACTTTTCTATCGAAGAAAATAATCATACATTAGAACATCCTATAGGTATAATAATTGTCGTATATTTTCCTATATGAATTTCCTATGCCCAAAAAATATTACTTATTACAATATTTACGTTAATAAATATTTCAGGTTGTTACACATGCTGTGGTACAAGAGCATTTAAATTTGAAACTATAAAAAATCATACAGTAAATATTTACTAATAGCAAAATTATTTTTATAATTTTTTTTTTTTTTTACAAAGTAGGGATGCCGTTTTCGCAGTCACGTTCCACTTTTAAAAGATGATCCAGATAAACAAGTATACGACACTGTGAAAAAATACTCGAACTTTATTGTCACCAAGGTTCCAGAAATCGAGTTTGATAAAGAAATTATAAAACTCATACCATCAAACTCTTGTAAATATAAAAGTAGTACTTTAAAATTAAAAGTGTATTAGACACAAGTGATCAATTTTTATTATATAAAATTACTTAAGTTCTGTTAATGATTTTAAAGTATTTAAGCAAAAGAATAGAAGCACATAAAATAATTCAAGTTAAATGTACTATATTTTTATTATAATCTATATACCACTGTAATAAATATTAATTAATTTAACCATAAGACATATGATAATAATAATATTTTTAGAAATTTATACGTACTAGAATAATATTTCGTCCATTTTATTCTCTTTAAAGATATAAATAGTAATTATTTAATTATTTTTTATTTAACTCCCTTGAATTTTTTTTTTATAGATTTTAATACATAGTATTATTATAGATCGAAAATTATCTATTATTAGTGTTATTATTTTTAAAGAAAAGTATCTAGAAATAGTGCAATAAAAAGTTTGGAGGGTATATGAGAACTGATCCTATGGTCGTGACGCACTAGTATATAAAAATGTTATCAATATTGAATAAATTAATCTCTAACTTTTAATTCAATGTTTATTATACAGAGTGATCTTCTAATGCTAGTCACTCAATTTTTCCTAAAAAATGTTTATGTTAAGAAAATTATTTTTCATATTTTTAGTTGAACATATTATTTAATTTATCAATTATTAATTAGTTTTTTAATTTATCCCTTAATCTTAAAAATATTTCAACTTAATTTTTTTTAATGGTAATATATATATTTAACTAGCTTATAAAATAAAAATAAATGTAATTAAGAAAATAACAGTTACACATTTTTAACTGGTAATTTGGAAGTTATAATCATTTTACATTAGAATTGAAGGTGTAGTGGGTTTATTAACTTTTATATCTAAGCTTTGTTTATACATAATTGTATATGTAGGATGCTTTCTCATTTAGCCATTTCAGTTTAAAAGCAGCACTAAGGATAGCTTAAAAACAGTTTTTACTGTTTTTTGCTTGTTTATTATATTAAACTTTCGTTGTTTCTCAAATAAAAGAAAATTTAATTGTGTCTACAATTTATTTTTTACTTTACAATTATTGATAAGAAAAAGAAAACTAACACTTTTTCATACTCAACACTATTTTTAATTTCAACTTAAAACAGGCGTGTAGTTTTTAGCAATTGAAAAATTTATCTATTAAAAATAAAGGTGATAAAACAATTATTTAATGTTTAAGAAACTTCTCTAAGTTCTTGATTTACACTAAATTATAAATTTATTTCCAATTAATTTCTTAAAATAAGTGTTGAGTATATATTTTAGTGGTATTTTTTACAAAATTGGTTAGTAATTTAATGGATTTTACTAAATTTGGATTATTTACTAGCTATTGAATGTTCTAAGTATTCGCTGTGGTGGAACAAATTGATACTAGGAGAGTATCCACCATTAAATACTCCAATTACATCATATATATGGAATTATTTCAATTCACCAAAAAAAAAAAAAAATTTAAAAGATCCAAATAAGTTAGTCAGTAAGTATTGCGCTTACTATTATTTAACTTATGCACTTTTTATGTTTAATCCCAATTTTAGAGAAAAAATTAGACGTGGTTAATATAAGTAAGAAAAATAAAATAAATGAATCTTCAGAAAAAATAGATTTTAAGTATGTATGCCGAAATTCTATGGTTCCGACTGGTATTCATCAATTTGAGTCCACAATCAATACTAGCGATAAGTAAATTTGTAGAAAATAATTATTTTTTAAGTGGTAAGATTCTGCATTAAATTGATTCTGAACAAAAATATGAATTTTAAAAAAGTCATAAAACCCTAAATTTTTAAGCTTTAGCAATTCATTAAGGACCATAGGAACCTCTTCCCTAAAGAAGTTTTTATCAATTCACAATATACCCTTTGATAATGTGCTAAGTTCACTAAAACAACAACAGTGCAAAGATCTTTTATCATAACTTATAATACATAAAATAAAATGAAATTAAAAATAGAAATATTTTGATAATAATTATTATTGTTAATAAATGATTTTATTTATTAATTTTTGTTTATTATTTCTATGTTGTATAATGTTGACATCTTATATGCACTATAAGAAATAATACAAATATTACCGTATGTGAATATGATATTTTTAGTTTACACATTATTTTATACACAAGAAGTGTAATTTTGACATAAAGTATCGAAAATTCGTACATAAGTACAACATTTTATTACTACTTATACTTATTACAAATTCCCTCTTTGTACTGGGGAATAGACAACATTGTATGCGTTAAAAACTTCCAATACATGTGTATAAATTTCGGAAAATTTTCTTAACAGTGTTATTGAAAACCAACTTTTTAGTCAATGATCTTGTTTAAATAAATAATTTAAATAATTTCATTAATGGTATTCTCATGTTGTTAAATAATTATTTTGTTTAATATTTTTGTCCTTATACAAAAAAACATCTTAATATTGAATGATTGAATAATTAGTAAAGCAATCGACACTGGATAGCTTATTTTCGTGCTGTACGCAGCTAATTTTTAATTTTATTAAACAATAACTGATTCTAAAAAAACTGTATAGATTGTTGTATTTATTAATAAAAAAAAAAAATAACAGAAAATTCCGTTTCTAAAAGATGTTAAAAAATTATTACTTAAACTTTCCTTGAATAATAATCTATTTACAAAATTTATTATACAGAACAATAAACTTTAATGTCATATTTTAATTTTTAGAAATTTATGGTCACATGTAAATCATAGTCATAAAAATCAAGAAACACAAAGATTAAGAGAAATAAAATTATTTCAACAAATGGCTCTACGTTTGACGGCTAACATAAATAAAGTAAACAGCTTAGCCGATGCCTACGATTTACCCATATGTCATCTTAATCCTAATGGTAATAAAGTCCATTAAATAACATTAAGGTGGATAATATACAGGGTGGCCCACCACTCACTGACAACTTAAATAACTTTTGATCCAGTTAATATTTTTAGCTGATTTTTTTTTTAAATAATAGTTATACGTTAGGTCTATAGCTATATCTCAATAATTAATTTTTTTACATTTTATTAAAAATATAATTTATTTTTAAATTTTAAATAAAATGTAAAAAAAAAATCTAAGATAGCTATTTTGTAGAGTAGAATTTAAGAAAAATTTTAGTAAAAAAATATCTTATTAATATTCAGTAGTAAATATTCTGTAGCGTTTTGAAGTTTGTGAAAATTTGAATTTTCATGTACTATTTTACGGTATTAAACATTGAAATACGTATTGAGAAAAGGACAGAAGAAAACGCTATCTTTTCATGATTACTGTGTATACATATGATGATAATGTGTATACATTACAAACTTGGCATTAATACCATGATAAGAAATTAGATAAGGCAATTATTACTTATCACTCTCATTCAAAAGTATATTGAAAAGATAGCGTTTTCTTCTGTCCTTTTCTCAATACGTATTTCAATGTTTAATACCGTAAAATAGTACATGAAAATTCAAATTTTCACAAACTTCAAAACGCTACAGAATATTTACTACTGAATATTAATAAGATATTTTTTTACTAAAATTTTTCTTAAATTCTACTCTACAAAATAGCTATCTTAGATTTTTTTTTTACATTTTATTTAAAATTTAAAAATAATTAATATTTTTAATAAAATGTAAAAAAATTAATTATTGAGATATAGCTATAGACCTAACGTATAACTATTATTTAAAAAAAAAATCAGCTAAAAATATTAACTGGATCAAAAGTTATTTAAGTTGTCAGTGAGTGGTGGGCCACCCTGTATTTCAAAATCTACATTTTTATGAGAATTAGACAATTTTTTTATTTATATGTATAGAAATTACCAACAAAGTTTAGTAGAACTCTATTGCATTTCAATACGGCACTTTAAACTCAAAGTTAATCATAAAATCAAATGTATTCATTTTTTTCTTATATTCGTTGTTATTATTCATTTATATTTGAAAGTACGGTGATCAAAAAATGTAGCTCTATTAATGTTATATTTATAAGTTTTAATGTTGCTCTATTAATTTAATTAAAATTTTATAATTGTAATTTTTAAATATATATAGTATAACTATTATAACATAATAAATACTATTATATAAAATGTCTTATTCTATAACACGCGGTACGAGTTTTAATGACATTGCTACTCTAGTTATTGATAAGTGCATAGTTTTATGAAAAAAAAGCGAGAATGACAACAAGGGAGATGCATAACTATAAAGAAAAATTAAAAAGACTTTATAAAAATTTGTGAAGTTAAGTATAGTTAAAACTGGTATGATCAAAATTTTAATTTTCAACTTTTTAAAAAAAGCCAAATACTCGTGGTAGACAAGTGATCGGGATATCTTATTTTTACTGTCCCATTATTGTCACGATTCATTATTAGATGCCTCATTCTTAGTATTATGGTTTTAAAAAATTCAACAGTCTTCTATAATGCCTCAAGGTTTTCATCCTTGTTCTTACAGGTTCTCCTAAATTAGACTTCTGATTTTGTTCCGTTAAAGAATCAAACGATTAATATTATTTTTGTTACACCAATTTTATCTTACTTCTCACCTATATCATCAATATATCAACTAGTCCATATCTTTATAAAATTTATATATATTATAATTAAATTAATGAAAAGTCACTTAATAAGGTAATACAAAAACTATATAACGTAAAATTATTTTTTATTTCAAACAGGTGGATACTATAATGGTCTACAATCAAAAATATTAAAAGTAAACGAAACAAAAAAAAATTCTTCTTCATCCTCAAGTTTCAATAAATTAAAAAGTATTTTTGTAATTGCGAATGCTATAAATACCTTCTTTTACTTTATGAATTTTTTTAGATTCGATAAAAACAAAGAAAAATTGTTTCAAACTTAAATTTTCATAAATAGTTTGAACGAAGTTTTGTTTAATTGCTAATATATATGAATAAAATTGTAAATTATCTGAATTCAGTAAAAATTATAATAATAAATCTGTTTATTTTCATTTTTATCGTGCCATGTTTTATAATTATACAAATGTAAAATTAATTTAAAAAAGGGAATTAAATTATTAATATTATAAAAATAATTGAATGATTTTTATAAATGAAACACTATCTAGTATATATTTTGGTTGCACATAATAGTAGTTGTACATAAATTTACTAGATGGCGCTGTTTTTTCCAGTATTGTGTAAAAAAAATTTTAATCGACAGACAGTAATATTGATATTAATTTAATATAACAAAATTTGAACATTCAGAATAGCAATACTACTTTATAATATATATATATATATGTTTTTTAATGTTAGATTATACTTTTAAAAAACAATACGTATATAAATTGTGTCTATTTGATATTAAAAATGTAAAAAAAATTTTTTACATTGTACACTAAAAATGATACTTATACTTTAGTCATAAAATTATTTAACAAATTATTTTTAGTCTAATAATATTTATATTAGACAATATCATTATTGCACGCTATTTTGAAAAAATAATAACTTTTAATTAAATGAATATTTTGTGTTATTTTTTTCAATATAATTATTACACTATTGGACAATAAAAATATCATCAGAATTATTCTTTTTAATTTATTAAAAATATTGAGATTCATTTTACTTTGACGATAGTAGAATAACCATGTTATGAATTTTTGTTTATATTGTGGTATGTTTCAAAAGCTTTAATTTGGTATAGTACAAAAGTCGTTAGACCTTCCGAACATTAACAAATATCGAGTTAAAAAAAATGTCATGCTTTAGTGATATTTTTTTCCTAATAATTATTTTTAAATAACCCTTCCTGTTGTTATGTTTTTCTTTTATTTTTCACAATAAGCACACACAAGAAAGCTTATCGTCTCTAGTAATGCTATTAAAATGTTATTAGAATCATTCTTTTCATTAAAAAGTTATATCAGTTTTAAAATTTAACAATAAATTAGAAAGTACTATTTTAACTTCGATGCGAAGCTAAGAAGGTATTGGTTTAACTATGATGTGTTTTTTTTTTTTGTGTCTATTACCACTTTTTCACAGCTCTCACCGAACCGATTTCTTTCAATGATACGTCAAAAGATCACAAATTGTATCTAGTCGAAGACATTACCCTCAAAAATAGAAAAAATTTCCTTCATTTCCCGTAAATGAGGGAAACCTCCAAAAAAATTACAAATTTAAAAATCGCCAATTTTCGAAATTTTTCAATTTTTTTTACTTATAATTGCCATAACTTTTTTAAAAATAACCAAATCAATATAGATTTTTTTTATATAGATGCATGATATCATTACCTTTTATTTGGTATATATTTTTTATATATCTGACCCTTTACCTGCCAACGGGGGGGAAATTTAAAATGACAACTTTTTCACAAAAAATTTACTTTTTCAACTTAACTTTTGAAAATGTTCCGAAAAGTCTGACACTTTTATATATATCTTAAATTAAAGTTAATGTAATGTACTTTATCATGAAAAAAAAAAATTTGACCTCTGGACTTGTCTTCGTATTGAAAATGGCTACCGAATGCTATTTTTGTGTGAAAATTCTCGATTTTATTTTTTACATTTTTAACTTTATAATGCTATAACTTATTGAAAAGTGTATGGATCAACATAATTTTTTTATGAGAAATAATATTTTTTAAAAATCCCTTTTTCATTCAACATACTTTATCTTAATCAGCATATTAATAAGGAACTAGCAGATCATGTAGCTTTTGGAATAATTTATCAATTTTTTAAAATTAAACACTGTCTAAAGATTTGCATCGAAGCGTTTTTTTTTAATAGTGAATTTAATATTGTTGGATATCATTTTACTTGATCCAACTATGCCACGTCACCACTGTGCCGCGACCACCCTGTGCTCGGTTTTTTATGATAACGTTTTTTTGTTATTTTTGTTTAAATTTCTAAAATTGAGAAGAAGTTTTTCAATTTTGTCGACTATATCTTTAAATAAATTGAAATCAGCTTTTTTTTTACGTAATGATCATTAATATCGGTCAAACGATAGTTTTCATGGACAAGATATAAAAAAAAAGTACATCATGTTAAAATTAAAATATTTTTCAGTTTTTCATTAATGCTAAAAAGTAACGCAAAATATGCAATAGATCAAAAAATTTGATTTAAATTTGTATAAGTGTTCGTAGTAAGTTAACTTGTACAATAATTTTTAAAAAATTTGTCCAAATTTTCTCAAAATATTCTTAAAATTAAATANATGTAATATACTTTAATTTGAAAAAAAAAAATTTGACCTCTGGACTTGTCTTCGTGTTGAAAATGGCTACCGAATGCTATTTTTGTGTGAAAATTCTCGATTTTATTTTTTACATTTTTAACTTTATAATGCTATAACTTATTGAAAAGTGTATGGATCAACATAATTTTTTTATGAGAAATAATATTTTTTAAAAATCCCTTTTTCATTCAACATACTTTATCTTAATCAGCATATTAATAAGGAACTAGCAGATCATGTAGCTTTTGAAATAATTTATCAATTTTTTAAAATTAAACACTGTCTAAAGATTTGCATCGAAGCGTTTTTTTTTAATAGTGAATTTAATATTGTTGGATATCATTTTACTTGATCCAACTATGCCACGTCACCACTGTGCCGCGACCACCCTGTGCTCGGTTTTTTATGATAACGTTTTTTTGTTATTTTTGTTTAAATTTCTAAAATTGAGAAGAAGTTTTTCAATTTTGTCGACTATATCTTTAAATAAATTGAAATCAGCTTTTTTTTTACGTAATGATCATTAATATCGGTCAAACGATAGTTTTCATGGACAAGATATAAAAAAAAAGTACATCATGTTAAAATTAAAATATTTTTCAGTTTTTCATTAATGCTAAAAAGTAACGCAAAATATGCAATAGATCAAAAAATTTGATTTAAATTTGTATAAGTGTTCGTAGTAAGTTAACTTGTACAATAATTTTTAAAAAATTTGTCCAAATTTTCTCAAAATATTCTTAAAATTAAATATATTTATATTTAAAACGCTAAACAAATATTTTTCCCTAAAAATCTAATATGATAATTTTATGTAGATTTTGTATATTTCCATTATTGTACTACAATAATGCCTTATTGTAATTTTGTGCCTTCTAATAATTGCCTTATTTAATCTCCAAAGTTATAATAATATTGTAACTTTGAAGATTTAATTAGGGAAAAATGACGACATATTTTTCGTATAAAATTATTTCTCATCTTTTTTCAGTATATAATTTTACTTTTAACATTCAAATAGTTAATGAAGTCGATCATACATTTTTTTTTATGATCAGTCAAATCCATATATATACAATGTCATAAGTATTAATATATTTATGGGTGTATATTATAACATTACATTTCTCCTGTCTAAGATATTTAATATGCTGTGGCCGTTTTGAAAATGATTACTTTATTAATAATAACAAAAATTAATTGAAATAAACATGTAGATGTAATATACGGCGTACTTAACATTAATCAAATATCTCTATTGTATTTTAATTTTTTATTTGAAAAAAATTGTAGGTTACATTATGCAACGATTTATTTAAATCTTGTGTTAAATATCTAATTGTTCTCTGTTATAAGCATATTAAAATGAATAATTAATAATTATTAAACAATTTACAAGAGAGTAATAAATCATTTCACCACATAAAGTGAAACACCCAAGCGTTTAAAATATTATGTAACATTTATATAAAACCTTTAAAACCAGGCTATATAATTAAAAGTGCTATTAAACATTGTTTGTGCAGTTGAGAAAACACATTTAGGCATTTGAAAATCACTGAAATTATAAATAAAAACAAGCTAAAAAAATATTTATTGAAAATATTAGTATTTCATTTAACTATATTATCAAAATAGTTTACTCAAATTCTGAACACAAGAAAAAAACAGTGCAATTATTTTTAGGTAAAAGAAATTATATTTTGGGGGGAAGTGCTAAAGAATATAAGTATCAAATTTTTAAGTTGATATACATGTATAATACACGAGAGATTACAAATACAGGTAGCTAATTGGTTTTTTTATGACTCTATCAAAGATACAGAGCATTTATTATCAATGGTAATAAGGCATATTGCTGTGAATTTATAAATACACCAACAGAAAGTCTTTCTATTGATAAGTAATTGAGTGGGTTATGATAAAAAAATCTCTCTATATGTGAATATTCTTAACTGCTAAAATAGTGATCAAAATTTATTATTGAGCTATTTTAGCTTAAGTTAACTACAGAATAGTAAAACACAAGTAAGAAGTTGCAATTGGGAAATATATCGGGAAAGCAAAAATATCATTAAAATACTGTATATTTTCATTAACATTCTTCATGCACATTGACATCAAAGTGTTTCACAATAATTATAGAACAATTTTTTTCCAGTTTAATTTGAGCTATTGAATTACATGAATTAAGCGCAAAAAAAAGACATCGACACTAAGTCATACATTTTTAACTAAACACAGAAGTTAATAAGCTATACCTAATGTAGGATTAATTTGAACAGGTTTGAACTTCAGAAAACGATAGAAAATGAATATGAACATTACCCCACAAACAATAAGGTTCCCCGAGGCTACTTTTTTGTCTCAGTTGTTGCATGTTTATTTGTTCATTTACTAAATATATCCGAAAATATACAATGAGATCTCAAAGACAATCGAGTATCAAGGGTTTGCTCTGTGTTTACTGATTGTTCATACCCCCGTTAAGCGTATAACATGTCCCCTATCATTTAAAACAGCACTTGAACGTATTGCATTCACAACTCCAAATTGAAACCTTTGTGCGTGTGTGTCTTTTATCTACTAACTACTTAAAGCAATGATAGAAAAAGAAACTCTGTATTAAGGTCACACGGTTCGATTCACAGGAAAAACTGTTAATGACGTGTTTTTTAAAAGGGGTTTCTCAACAATTAATGCTCTTCGTGTTCTAATTGGTCTTAAAAATGACCTTGAATTTATAAATT